TATGAGATAAACATTTTCTACCCACCTCTAACGGAAAATCTGCCTCTGGTTCTCAGTGAGTGTAGCTACATGACTTTGACAGTGAGAGTCAGTGGGCTCATACAACTTCGAGATGGTGTCTCCGAAGCACTGGAGAGGCTGAGCTGCACAAGTTGTCTTTTTCCTCCTTGAGGAGGGTACCTCCAGGAATTGGTTTCTTAAAAAGATCTCCCTCTGGGGTTCAATGAGGCAAGCGCCAGGGATGTTTTGTGGCATCTGGGCCTACATCATTGGAATGAGTTAAACTCCATGGCTTCTAAGGGACACAGCGATGAATGTCTATGTCTTAAAGCAGTTCATTTGAATTTGGAGATTAATTATTTAGAGATTAATTATTGAAGAGGTTGGAAGCAAAAATTTATCAATCAAATTGGAACATACTACATCTGTATATCTTTTTAGCGAATGTGGTGGCAAGTTTTCATTATGCCACTATCTGCTGTTTTATTTCCCCTTGTTTTACCTACAAATACAATTAGCATAGTCTTTAAGTAATGAGTTAAAGTATAATATGTAATCTCTAAAAAACAAAGTTAATGTAAGACAACTATCCTTTACTCTTGTATTTCAGGTTGTAAAGGGTTGAGAGAAAAGGTAGTTATCCAGAAGATAAGTACTAGACAACAATAAAATATAATATTTAAAAGTGAAACTTTCTCTTATATTTGAACATGAGATTTCTGGAGATACAAACTCATTTTTCTAAGACTTTGGTGCTTTCCAATATATTTTGTTCTTATAATAAACCAAATGCACTGCTGTCAAGTCGAATTCGACTCATAGTGACCCCTCCTTGGGTTTCCGAGGCAATATCACTATGGAAGTAGATTGCCCAACCTTCCTTCTGAGGAGTGGCTGGTGGGATTGAACTGCCAGCCTTCTGGTTAGTAATCAAAGTAATCAAGCACCTTAGGCACAACGCTACCACAGTTCCCGTTCTTATAATAGCTAATAGAATTTTGTGGAAAAGAATTGTTACTATGAAAATGCTCTCCCATGAGGAGAAAATGCTCTC